CCTCTGAGGCATTGCACAACACGGGTGCACTCACTTACATTCAGTCAATACATCCATACACATAAAATAAAAGTAATAAATATTTTAAAAAAGAACATATATATATATGTAATCAGGTTGACCATAACTAAAATGCTGTTTAGTGTTTAAGCACTTTATATGAAAAACAATTAGATTTTCTTATAAAGCTGATTTACTTTTAGTAAAATAAAAAAAAAAAGACTAACTTTAAAGACAAGGATTTAATGTTTTATATTTTCTGTTAATTTTGTCACTTTTAACAGAATTGGGGTTCATGAAACAGGGTCTCCCTGGAGCCTCAGGTGGTCTTGATCTTACAGAGATGTACCACCATGCAAAAATTTAATGTACCAATGTAAAACTATAATCTAATTCTTGTGTTTAAGCAGAAAGGCTTTCATATTTTGCTCTTAGTAACATTTATAAAAAGAAATTGAGTTACAGGACAAGATTTTTATGTTCTGTAAAATAAAAGTTTATGTTTTCTATGATCTTGTCAGGTTTTTGACTACTTAAGAAAGGACTAACAAAATCAAGTTTCAGGGCTGGGGATGTAGCTCAGTGGTATATTTGTTATTTTATTGCTTCAACAAAATGCCTGACAAAAGCAACTTAAGTAAGGAAAGGGTTTTGGTTGACCATTTGAGGGTGCAGACCATCATGGCAGGGAAGTCATGGTGGAAGGACCTTGAGTCAGCTGGTCATATCACATCATAGGAAGCAGAGAGCAATGAATGCTTGTGTTCAGGTAGCTTTCTATGAATGTGGTAGAGGACTGAAACCCAGAATGGTGTCACTCATTTTTCAGGTGGGTCTTTGCACATCAGTTAACCTAATGAAGATAATTCTTTACAGGGCCTGAGGCTGGTCTCCTAGGTGATTCTAGAGCTCTTATGTTGGTAATTAGTATTAACCAACACAGTTGTAGCACTTGCTTAGCATGGTCAAGGCCCTAGCTTCAATATACAGTCTGGAAAAATAATCCCAGGAAGATGATAGAAGAATGAGGCATGCCCCAGTTGGTGATGGTCTGGGGGGAGTAGCTCCCAAGAGACTGAATGCATCTGATGGACCATGTGAGGAACCTTATCATACAAGATGAGAATTTACCTTGTGATTGAAAATTCCCAGAAAAACTTTGCATCTTCAAACTGGACTTCCTTTCTTCTTCAAGGCTGATTAACCAATTAGAGCTCTGGAGATTATGGAGAGTCTGGAATGTTGCAGGTCCAGAGCCTACTTGGCATTTACCTCAGGCTATCTTTAGCCCCTAAATAGTCATTTCCTTCCCCACTTCTATTTCTGACCTAACATCCCATGACTAACAAAAAAAAATTTTTTTGAAAAGTGTTTTTAACAAACCACCAGATTCCACCAACCAAAAGGTTAAGAATGTTATCAGATAGCATCTGAGACCTATACTAGAATTTCCTGTCCTCCTGCTTTGCTGTGACCCACCTACTGAATATATCCACCAATGTATTCGAAAAGTGCCTTGATTTATGACTTTTCTTTGTTCTGCTACTATAAAAAACTTCATTAAACTGTTACCATGTGGGAGTATAGAATTTTGGGTAACCTGAATCTGTGTTCCTGGGCCATGGTCACTCATATTTGGCTCCAGAATAAACTATCTCTTGTCCCCTTTGAGGTGAGAGTCATGCTTTTGTGTTGACAACCTGATCTTAGGTTCTTCTATACTGATCTCAAAATGCTAAAACCCAGACCTGGCAAGTAAGAGAGACACAACACTCGGAGAGCCAAAATGGCAATGAGACCCAAGCAATAGTGGAGACAGCAACTCTGGGCAGAAAGACCTAGAAACATTACTCCAGGCCTCTTCATCTTAAGAACCTTGATGCTTCTATAGTGATCTCAAAATTTTGCACTCAGGACTTAGCAAATAAGAGGGATAATAACTGGGGAGCCAAGATGGCAAAGTGGCACTCACCAGCAGAGGAGAGCTAGCCTGGCCACCCATCAACACTGGTGGAAACTGGCCACCCACAAGCACTGGTGGGGCAGAGCCAAGCCAGTCTGACCACCCATGGGCAGTGGATTACCCATCCAGTGGCACCCATGGTCAGCTGTCAAGAACTGGCTGCAGTCCTCAACAACATTTGGAATCTGAGGCTAAAGATTTCAGAAAATAAATTAAAGGACAGCGGTGTAACAGCTATCATGGGAGTTGGGAAACCTCCCAACTGCCACTCAGAGAATCTTGGATTGGAGTTCTAAGAACTAATTGCTGTCTGCTGTGAGGACCTAGCTTTTTCTTTTACCGACAATAAAACCCTGAGGGAAACCAGCCTGTTGGAGAACACCCTGGTACACAATGGGGTCATTGTGCTGAGTGAGGAATGGAAATAGCCAAATGTAATCTGCATGCAAGGGCTAGTAACAACTAACTTTGATGAAGAAAACCAAGCATTTCCGACTGTGGAGAAAAAGAGAAATCCCGACTTGGGCCCTGACATGTCCAGAAGACAGCATTTCACAGCATTATTTCCTACCCTCTGGCTTTTGCATTCTTTCTGCTGCCTTTTCTGTGCTGTTTCCTGAGCCTTGGGGTAGCGGGTGTTACACTGATGCTGTGTTTAGAGATGAGCACTCAACAGTCACTTATTGAATAATATGCTAAGACACTGTCCACAAGACAGAATTAAAGTACAAGATTGGACTCTGGGTAGGCTTGGCCTAAAAATCACTCCTGCTATACTCCTCAGTTGCTTGAAATTTGCCAAGAATGGGCCAATTAACTTATTATCTTGTTCTACCCCTCCCCCCAATCTGAGTCCTGAGGGACAACTGAGGTCAAACCACCAATGGTTAATCAGTGTTGTGTTCCAAGCCAAGGGAGACAGTTTTCAGAATCAAAATGAAATCCCTCTGTATGGCAGCCTTTAACTATAATCCCAGCACTTGGGGAGCTGAAGCAGGAGGACTTTTTTTTGGGGTGGGGTCTTTTTGAGACAGGGTCTCTCTGTAGCCCCAGCTGGCCTGGAATTCACTATGTAGACCAGGCTGGCCTCAAACTCAGATCCTCCTGCCTCTGCCTCCGAAGTGCTGGGATTAAAGGCATGCACCACCACACCCTGCAGGAAGATCATTTTTGAGACTAACCTGGGCTTCACAGCAAGACCATGTCTCACAAGCAACAGCTTTTGTCACCCTTCCCAAAGTCAAGACGTTATGAAGAAATGGTTTTTATGCATGATTACTTGGCACTAACTAAATGTCATCTACCTTGGTGCCTACTTGTATTCTTTTAATAATATTTGTTTACAAACACAGGCATCTTTCACCTAAAGATTGAGGTTTAAAAAAAAAAGTGTGGGGAAATGTAGCCATTGTGACAGGAATGAAGATGTTCCAGAGACACTTGTGTCCCTCCCTTTGGCTATCAGATTGAAATAATGGACGGCAAGAAAATGGAATTTCCCCCAAGAATATCATGCTGGAGGAGGGAAAAGGCTGAAGCCTGGTGCCAAGCAGGAGGGTCGCTTATCACCAGCAGAGTTTTCACACAGTTCTCACATTGTCAGAGCACCTTACAGGAGCGACTGAACCCTGGACAATGATGATAGGCCACACCACATCCTGACCAGGACTGCCTAGTTACCCACACCTCTTGCCTTCTTTTAAAATCTAACCCTTGGGGCTGGAGAGCTGGCTCAGCGGTTAAGAACACTGGTTGTTCTTGCAGAAGACCCAGGTTCAAATCCCAGCACCCACATGGCAGCTAACAACTGTCCATAACTCCAGTTCCAGGGGATCTGACAGTCTCTTCTGTCTTCCCCAGGCATTGCATAACACAGGTGCACTTACCTACATGCAGGCAATACACTCATGCACATAAAATAAAAATAAATTAAAAAAATTTTTTTTCGGAGCTGAGGACCAAACCCAGGGCCTTGCTCTTGCTAGGCAAGCACTCTACCACTGAGCTAAATCCCCAACCCCAAAAAAATATTTTTAAAAATAAAATCAGCCAGGCGTGGTGGTGCCCGCCTTTAATCCCAGCACTTGGGAGGCAGAAGCAGGCGGATCTCTGTGAGTTCAATACCAGCCTGGCTTCCATAGCGAATTCAGGGCAGCTGGGGCTACAGAGAGACCCTGTCTCAAAAAGACCAAAATAAAATTAAATAAATAAAATTAAATAAATAAAATAATAAAATAAAATCTAACCCTCAAAGGTGCCTTGAGTTGGCAGGGGTGGGGGCTTGACTGATTTGACCCCTTAGTTCCTTTTCTCAAGGTAGTCACATTGAGTAAACTTTCTTTTTCTGTTTTTCAGTATTAATTGTATCATTAATTGGGCCACTGAAGACCGGCAGCCTGAGCCTGGCTCTTGCCCTAATAACTCTGGTACCAAACTGCGTCACAGTGTTCCCAGTCCAATGTTACTGGAGCTGAAACTCCAGTTTAGTTAGACACCACTAGACTTCCATTCTTTTGTGTTCTTTCCTTTCTTGAGGGAGAGGATGGTTTGGAACTTTCTGAAGAGCATCTCTATAGTTTATCATTCCTGGCACTGAACCCTGGGGCATTCAGACTAGAGGAAAGGTGGGGATGGACAGGAAGGCAGCTCCTAAGTCAATCCCACTGCTGGGCTTGGGAAATTCCCCGTCGTTAACCGCCTGGCCCTGGGATCAAGCCTGGGAGTCGCAGGGTAAAGATCTCTCCACAGCCCCATCCAACACCCTGAGGGCTGTAGGTTGCACTCCCCAGGCTCCCGCACACTCCAGGGGCCAGCCTGGTCTACATAGTGAGTGACAGGATAGCTGGGGCTACAGGGAGACCCTGTCTCAAAAAGACCAAAAAAAAAAAATTGCACTTCCAGGCAAGACCTGGATTGGGTCTTCCATGGCTTTGAAATGAAAAGCAAGTTTCTGGTTTGGCTTATCACCAGGCTCCCGCACACTCCAGAGGGCGTCACGGCGTGGCCCCTTTAAGAGCGGTCACGTGCCCATGACGTCACGGCAGGAAGCATTTGAGGAAGTAGCTCTGGGCCGGCTGCGAGGGGATCCCGCGCTTTCATGTCCTTGGCTGGCGTTCCTGGCGGCCCGAGGCCCTGCAGGCAGGTGAGTCCGAGTGGGGCTGCTCGGCACCTGCGGGGCGTCGCTCGGTGCTGCCTCCTGGGCCGGGACGGGCTCCGGACGGGGAGGGGCAGCCCCGCCCCCACGGGCAGGCCCCGCCGGGTGCGTTTACTGAGTGAAGTCGGAATTCCAGCGTCGGTGGCCCACACCTTGAGGGGCGGCGCCATCCCCTGGTTCCTCCGGCTCCTTGAGCTTCCTTTTTGCTAATCACGACTTTTTGTCCTCTTCCCCTCCTTGCTTCTAGAGTTAGCCCATCAGTATGAGCTGGTCACCTTCCCTGCCAACCCAGACATGCGGGGCCTGGGAAATGAAAGAGCGGCTCGGGACAGGGGGATTTGGAAACGTCATCCGGTGGCACAATCGGGTAGGGGTTTGTCTGTCTGTCGGTTTGTTTGTTTTAGACAGGGTCTGCGTAGCCCTGGCTGGTCTGGAGCTCGCCATGTAGAGCAGGCTTCAAATTCAGAGATCCGCCTGCCTCTGCCCCTTGAGTGTTGGGATCGCAGGCGTGCGCCACCATGCCTGGCTTTCTAAACTGACTCATAAAACCCTGTTAACCTAGCCACTTATATAAAAAAAAAAGTAACTTGTCATTCTCAATTCCGTATTTAAATTATGTCTCTGCTAATATTAGACAGAAAAAATTTTAAAGGATGGGAGCACTAAAAACATTTTAAAGGGGTTGGAGAGATGGCTCATCGGTTAAGAGTACTGACTGCTCTTGCCGAGGACCCGGGTTCTAATACAAACACCCACAAAACTGCAGTCATTAGTAACCCCAGTTCCAGGGGTCCAATGCCCCTTTCTGACCTCTGCACGCATTGCACAACTCGCGTGCACTTATGTGTGGTGCAGGCATTACATTCCTATGTATAAAATAAAAATAAAATATTTAAAAACATTTTAAAGTGAATTTATTTCAAATATTTAAAATATTTGCTAATTCCAGTGTCTTATCAGTATTGTTTTAATAGTGTGCACCACAAAATACACTCTGTTAAGGATAATGGATGGAAACCCACAACTCATATATGTTGAGTGATTTGGACTGTTTTCTCTTTGGATTTGATTAGATTGTTGTTTTCAGTGCTTATGGGTCTGTCAGGAGTTTCTCATGTTAGAAGTGTCTGGTCTTCCAAATTTTTGCTGTTTGTACTGGTGATAGATACACTGAAATTCTCTGCAGAAATCTTTATGTATGAGCATTACTTTGCCCAAATTGGATAATACAGTCCATGATAATACTTAAGCAGGACCTGTCTCCTGCAACATTTCTATGGATCCATCCACCCTTCTGCTATGAACCACTTACATAGGAGACCTGCGTATCAGACATGGTGTGTGACCTTTTTCATAGATCTGGGAGAGTGCCCTATAGAAGCTTCATTTTATTCTGTTTTTTTAGGATTACAGATTTGGGCAGTGCCTAGAAAACATACACCAAAGTTAGAGACCAGTGTTCTGGGAGCCCTTACTAAGCAGCTATACTTAAGTTTTTGACCCCAAATTCAGACCCATCGAAGTTCTTGAAGAAGGCACCTGAGTTTTAGTTAAGGGTACTGAATACCTTTCTGAACCAGAGCACTTATTTGAACCAATGGGAATGGCAAACTGCTAGCCACTTCCTGGGAACAGAAAGGGTCATGAAGGCTGCTGGCCAGCCATTTCAAAGGGTCATTCCAGTCACCCTCCTGAGTTGCTTAGTTGGAAGAGGTTCTAATCTGGCCAGTTCTGAACTGATGGAAGAATACCTAAGGAGGCATGTCAGGGCTGCATCAGGGTTCTGCAGGTGGTAACATTTATACACCTAACTTGGAAGCAAGATTTCAACAAGCCCTATGTGTTAAGAGGGCCTCAAAAATATAAACAATGTTATTGGGGAATGTTGGTAAACATCTGCCTCCCAGCACTTAGGAGACTATGAGGTAGGAAGATTAGGAGTTTAGTTCCTGTCTTCCTGTCTCAAACAAGAAAATGAAGAAGCACCTGAAATTTCTTCTGAGTGCAAATACAGCCAGGAGCTTAGCACTGAAACTGAAGGATTTGATCATTCTGTAGCCTCACGAATATCTGGACTGGGCTGCTTCTAAACATCTCTCAGAGTTAGCTTAACTAGAGACAGTCTATGCTCCATATCTGTCATCTCTCAGCCTTAGAACCACCTGTTTCTGTTCTATGTACTTACAAAGCTGTATCAGATAGACTTTATTTCTGGCTTTGTAGATGTACGCCTGAAAGAGTGAGGGAAATGATCCATAATTACTACTTCCTAGTTTGCTGCTTTCAAACCCTTGTACTTTAACAGACTCCTCCTCCTGTCATTTGAAGTAGGGCCTGTCCATACCCTCCCTGTCAGCACTGTCTTCCTGCCACCGCCAGTAGGCTAGTCTGCTGAGTCCTTCCTTGGCTCAGCCTCTCTCTCTTATGGAGCCCTATGTGTAAATGCTGCCTGTTTCTCTAGGAGTAGCCCTAGGCGTTCTCCTCTCTGACTCCTTTGGGGACTGCTTCATTCTTCAGTGGGAATTTGTCCTTCCATTAAGATTCTTATTTCCAAGTGTTTGGCATGCTTCATGGGATACCTTTTTAACTTGTTATCATGTTCTTGGTTACTGATCAACCAGGACTGGGACAGCTTTTCCCCTGTAGCAAAGGTATACCAAATATTCATAATGGATGTAAGTGGATATTTCCTGTTATGGTAAGCATGAATTGAGAGGACCCAGTGCAATGAGACCTTATGCCACGGTGGGTCAATCAGGAGTCAAGGAAAGCTTGCTCCAAGGAAGTGACACATCCAAATGTGAGGACTCACTTGACTGGGATGAATACCAGAGAGCAGTGCTCAGGTATGCTACATGCAGTTTTGTTGGAGTAAACAGGGATCTTCCCCTGCCCCCTTTGGTTATCCAGGATAAGAAGTCTTTTTTTCCAAAGCTATCACATTCCTGTATTCCTTTCTTAGGGCCTGAGTGGGATAGTGAGTGTCAGGGCAAAGGTGTATGTCATCTGGGGCAATGGCTGTGAGCCACTGGGAATTAGCCACGCCAGCTGTGATTGGGGAGAGGCAGTCTGAGGTCAGGCCCTGTTGAGTCACCTCCGCAAGTCTTGTCGAGGCAGGAACTCACTTTATTGTGTCAGGCATTACCTTATATAATTTAAACAAAAAGTGGTGTGGAAAAGCGAAAGGCAAAGGTGTATGTCATCTGGGGCAATAGCTATGAGCCACTGGGAATTGGGCAAGCCAGCTGTGATTGGGGAGAGGCAGTCTCTGAGTCACCTCCACGAGGAAGTGACCGGCCAGAGACAGGTGGCCAAACTTTAGTCAGGCTCAGGAAGTTACAATAGGCCTCGTCATAAGTTATGCCACAGTTATGAGGGTCCCAGAGACCCAACATATTCCCCCTTTTACTTTTGTTTTAGCGGCGGAGAAACACAACCCCTGTCTTAGGTTGTCTCCCCTGTGGAGATCTTACCCATCACTGGGTGTTATGAATCTCATCCGCCAAGGTGCCTCTCCATGCCCTGTCTTAGGTTGCCTCTCCTCAGATACTGAAGTTGCCCGTCCTTGGGTAACCATGATTGTTTTTCATGGCCCCTGTCTTAGGTTCATCAGCCTGGGAGGGTCTTACCCATCATTGGCTACATGGAGGGCAGGGGATGGGCAATCGTATGAAGATGGCCAATCATGGGAGCTTGGCTCCTGACTAGCGAGCCTGTGATAATGCACCTCGACTTGATGTAATTTGAATGCCTGTATTCTCTGACGAACAAACCCCATGAACTTATTGAATATACAGTGTCCGAAAATAAGGAGAAGGAGAAGCGTAAGAAGGGGGCCGAGTAGAGGGAGGAGGTAGGGTAAAAAGCTATGTAAACCAGTCCAGAGTAGGTTTTCTTGAACCCCTTAAGAATTTCCTCTGGGGTCTCCTTGTAGGAGGCCAGAGAAAGCTGTGATAGGTAGAGAATGGGCGGGAGCAAGCCGCGCAGAAGGAGGAGGCACGAGCGGATGGATGAGGAATGATCCCGGATCTATTGGCATAAAAGCAGCACTTTTCAGGGCTTTCCATATCGGGCCTCTAGTCGCCTCGCTACAGCATTGGGGTCTCCAAATCCTTGATCGCTGGGTGGGATGGGAATCAGAAGTGTCAGGAGTAACAGCATCCACATCCTTTATTGTCCCTGAGGGAGAAACAGAAGAATCATCCTCAGGGGTGAAACACTCCCTGGATGGGTTATCATCATGATGTTGTCGGGGAAAATATTTAATATCCCTCGCCAGCACCCAGAGGGGTCTCTTTTCATTTTGAGGGAATACACACCAAAACCCTCTTCCCACTGTAAGATGTGGGTCTGGTCCTCTCCATGGTCCAGTGAGCGGGTCTCTCCATTTGACCAGAATGGAGCTGTAGCTGGTAGATAAGGACCAATGTTTTTGGAAGGGGGACAAACACTTGTCTTCTTTGGAAAAATTTAGAATATTTAAGGTAAATAAGGCCTTTTTTAGTTGATCATGTGGAGGCAGGGACTCCCCCTTTTGTTTTTGTAATTGGATTTTTAGGGTTTGATTGGCTCTCTCCACAATGGCTTGTCCCCTAGGGTTATAAGGAATGCCCGTGGAGTGTGAAATCTTCCACGTTTGAAGGAACTCTGAGAAGGGCTTGCTTATAAAGCATGGGCCATTATCTGTTTTAATTTGATCAGGTAGACCAAGGGTGGCGAAACATTGAAGCATATGGCTGATTGCGTGTTTGGCCTTTTCCCCGGGGTGTGCTGTCGCCCAGCAGGCACACGAGAAGGAATCAACTGACAGGAAGATATACTTAAGTTTTCCAAAAGGGGCATAGTGAGTGACATCAATCTGCCAGAGGTTGTTAGGCTGAAGGCCTCTAGGGTTGGTACCCGAATTTTGAAGAGGGGGGGACCTGAAGAAAAGGTTGGCAAAATTGACAGGTGCGTATAATTTTCTTTAGGTCTTTGATTGTCACATGGGGTAATTTTTGAGTCCTCTCCAGTTGACATGGGTCAGTTGGTGAAATTGGGTAGCCTCAGAGACTGTGTGACACTGATGTGAAGAGGCCAGTTGATCAGCTATTTTATTTCCTTCTGTCAGAAATCCAGGCAAATTTTGGTGGCCTCTAAGATGATAGAGGTATATTGGATTTACCCTAAGTTTAAGTAGAGCACGGGCCTGAATCATCAGAGGAGATATTGGGTTGGAGTCCAATCTAATATGAGCCTCCACTAGGTGGGGCAGTAAATTAACCACATATAAGCTGAAAATAGGTTGAAAGGCTCAGATATGGAGTCCAACAGCAAAGAGCTCTTTAAGTTGTGGCAATCCCTCAACCTGGCGGGAGACTGATTTAA